TGTTTTATTTTAAGACTTAAATGCCTATTTATGTTCATGGTTTTAGACGGCATATGGTTATTTTACATTGCAATCAGATGCCAATTAGACGACACCGTGAGTCCGTGACGTTGGTTAAATGTCTATTTATGTTGTAATATTTTATTTTTCTTTTTTGTTCTTTTTACCAATTTATGTTATCATTTGCTTACTTCTTTTTTAATCAATTTATGCAACTTGGCACAAAGTATCTAGCCATATCTTGACCGGTTAAATAAGCTGCAGACTTGCATGTAAAAATTTGAATGTTTTGGCCAGAAGCAAAGCTTCAACATTCTATTTGAGTACCGAAAATATAATATGTATAAAAATCGGTGAGAAGGGTCCATAGCCAAAATTTTAGGTTGCTAACATGTGATATTTACACTCAATATTCAATAATAGAACCCACTACACTCATGGATATTTCATATGCGCTTGTAGACGTTAGGCTTTGTCGTTCATTAACCCTGGCCTTTATTCAGCATTTCAGCTTAGCTTCTATTGAGCTTAACCTACATATTCCTTCTTTCTTCTAGCATTCTATTCATTAGACTTCTATCATGATTCATGAATGCCTAACCTCTCTTCATAATATTTATTTTTATCATGCTAGCCTTCTATTTATATTCATCACAACCCCCTCCCCTTCTATTCATCACCAACATTATCATAACACAAAGACTCTAATTTTAATTGAAATTGTTGGACGTTATTTTCCCACTACTTGTTATATTCTTTATCTGAAGTGGCGTTTCTTATTAAAGGGAGCTTACTTCCTTCCTTTCTTGACTTGAAAAAGAGGGATAAATAAGACCCAACTTATTGCTCTTTAGTATTATGGTTTGCTCGGTTTTTAATCGTGTGATTGATATAGCTGTTGAAATTTATTCCAATTATAATAGTTTTTCATCATAAAAAGATTTTTGGTGCATTTGTCCCTAATCCTACATTCTTATTTTATATTAATGATGATCAAACCAAAAACTTGGATTATATTTATCTCTAACAATCTCATTGTATTATGTGAGATAAAATCATCAATAACTTACTTTCATACTCGACAATATAGTTACTTCAAAACATGCTACTTGCATATTCATAAAACCAATATTTTACATGGATAAAGAGATTACAAACTACTGGATACAAACCGACTATTTTAAAGTGTTATATATTACATAACTTCCCAGGATTCTACAGTTTTATACATATGGGAGTGCAAAATACAATAGTTTCAAACTATTTATAAGCTTCTATCGATACAATAGTTTCAAACTATTCAAAAATCTTCTACCAGTATATAACTATACTGGATGTTTATCTCCTGCAATTTGTTAAACATCGAGAGGGTAAGCGGTGACGCTTAGTGAGTTCAATAATAGATACAATATAACGTTATGCCATATATATACTTTAATAAGGCAGAAACAAAGAGGAACAAGGAACAACAAGGGCATATGTGAATCATGTGATAAACATTTCATATCAATCATTGATTCGATTTAAAGACATACAATCAATGAGACATAACAATTTCCATGCTTGATATACATCAATAAAGCTTTGGCCCAAACGGTACAGAAGATATACAACTTCGGATTAACATTTCGGTAGATTTCAGGCTTATAGCCCTGTCTAACCTTCTGCCACTACCATAGAATAGAATTCATTCTCTTACGGAGACATGTTCCACATGGCCAGAGGCTACATACCAGTACCAACGTGAATCTAAGTCCTTTCACTGATCACATGGTCAAAGGTATTTCTTTGCTATTAAAAATAGCAAATAAAAATAACCCGAGAAAATAACCCGAAATAATAACACTGAAAAGAACGTAGCACATATAACACATAACATACAATTATTTCTATGTATTAAACTCACCTTGAAATAACCGGGGGCTAAAATATTAATTTGGGCAGCACTTCGGCTCTAAATATGACTTTCGTCGTTGAAAACCGGGCTCTGCGAAGGTAGAGCTTCAAAACCGAAAAGATAAATTTTCCGGGCTTCTCAGGCACTTCGTGGAGTATTCCGGGCTTTACAATCGATACCGGGGCTTTGCGGGATGTTAAGATGAAAGAAATCTGGGTTTAGGGGGTTAAAATTGACAATTTTTCAAAGTTACCCGGGAGGTCTCGTACCCTTCTATATATAGGGGTGAGGCTTCTGATTGGACGACTGAAAAGCCTCCAGGTGGCGAAGATCTGAGGCTCGCAGGGGAGGGCTCGCACGTGGGCTGCGCGTGCGAAGGCTTGCTGGCAGCTTCTTACTGGACCGAGGCGTGTGTCCGACGTCGGCTCCGGTGCGCAGGTGGTTAGCACATGCGAGAGTCTCGGTGGCACTCGTTGATTGGACCGCGGAGAAATAACCATTTGCGAGGTTCGGTCCACATGCGAGCCTCGGATTGGACCTCCCTTTGGTCAAATCAGAATCCGACACGTGGCTCGCATGACACACCAACTTCGAACACGTTGCATGTTCTAAGAGAAGGTAACGTGGCCGAAGCCACCTATGCGAAATTTCTCGGTTTTCGCGCTAAAACTTCTAAACTCCATAACTTTCGCATACGAGCTCCGTTTTTGACGTTCTTTATATGCACGCGTAGCTAAAATTATGCTCTACAACTTTCGTTTAGACTTCATTGACTAATTTTGACTTTAATTTTAATATTATTATTTTTAACAGACCGGGATAGGAAAATCCGTTAAAAATTCATAACTTCTTCATCCGATGTCCGTTTTCATCAGACTTTTTTACCTTTGTGCTCCTAATTACGAGACCTTCAATTCTCGTTTAGGTTGTGTCGGCTAAAAATCGCTTGATCTAAAATTCGAGTTTTTAGCTGTCTACTGCTAAGCTGAAACTTCGAAAAATCATAACTTCCTCATACGAAATCAGATTCAAACGGCCTTTATATGAAAGTTGATTATTTTCACGAGTTCCACAACTTTCATTTACATCACTAAGGCTAAAAATTAGTTTATCGAAAACTAAATTTTTACGCGACAAAGTATTTTTCGGATTTATCATGGATCTTCGTTTGGTCATAACTTCTTCGTTATAACTCGGATTTTGATGAGGTTTTCGCCTAAATGTTTCTAACGAGATTATCTACAACTTTCAATAATAAAATTTTACTTATTCCAAATTTTATATTTTCGCTATATTTTACTATTTGGTTTTTAATTGGAAACTCATAAGACTTCCAACATTTTATGAGTGATTCTAAACATAGTTTTACTTCATTTCTAGTAAAAACTATCTGTTATAACTCAACATTCAAATTCACTTAATATTTCATAATATTATTTACTTAAAACACGATTTCAAAACGTGTATGTTACAAAATATAGGTCAAGGTGCAGCAGGTAGCAATAGTGGTGTAAAAAAGGGAGTTGGGAAGAAGGGAAAAAGCCCCATGTTTTGAGAATTTGTAGTTTGGTATCATGATCATGAAGGATAACTATGTTTTTTTAGGCATTAATTGCCTTATTACATTGTTGTTATGTTTTGTATTTTGATACTTTGTTGCCATCTAGGATAACAATCTGTATGCCATAACACTATGTTGCTATTTTGGATGTCCCTTTATGTTAATGGTAAATGGTCATCTTGGATACTTTAAGTTTTGTCCTTTTTATTGTTATATTGGATGCTACATGTATTGAATGGTATATTGCGTATGTTGCAAATACCACATTTTCATTAAATTTGAACACCAATTGAGAACACCACATTATGATTACACAACATATTGTAATTGGAATTGAAGGTTTTTTCATAATACAAATAGCAATATAAAATACACATAAAAAAATACTAAGAACTTCATTACTAAACCTACACTTTATATATAAGGATTGGAAAAAAAAAAACCCCCGCTAATAACTAGGTAAAACTTCAATTTGCGATTTTGTTCTTCAAGTTTCATCCTAAATGCCATACAATCACAATCCTGATCATAATCATTCACCCATCCTATGAACTTGCATAATGGTCCCTGAACCAATTAAAGTAGATCAAGAATTAGGGCAAAATTAAAGAAGATGAAGAATGAAATTAAAATCATTAACCTTACATTTACCGTACAAGCATAATAGAGTTTCCCAGGGTTCTCTTTTGCTTTAGAGATGTGCGAATCACTGTAGTGGCTCCACAATTACATTTAATATCGATTATTGTTATCTAGTTTGAAGAAATCGATCGAACGAAGGGAGACGAAGGAGAGGATAGCAGAAGAAAAAAGGGTTGCAGTGTTTTATAAGATTTTAAAGTGCAACGATATTAAGAAGAGACACAAACCATGAAAAGATGAAAAGGCCCCTGCATGCAAGGCACGTGGGGAACTTAAACGGACGCATTTAACGGTTAACGTCTATAGGGACTAACCGTGCAAGAAAAATAATAACGAAGGACTGCCTGGGTTAAATTTTGAAAATAGAGACTAAACACGTTTTCTATCATGTGTACGAGGGACCAATGATCTAATTTACCGTAAAACATATTTCAGTGATATTCTACACTTAAATTTATGTCTTACCATCTCAAACTATCATAAAAATTGGTATAACGTTAAATTTTATGGACTGGTCGTAAAAACTTTCAAGATAATTTTATTATATATGAGCATGTTTTCTTTTAAATATTTAATGTGATAACTTATCATTTTATTCAAATTTTACATAAAATAATATAAATATAGAACTTCCCGTATTAAGTAATAAAAATAAATATTTTATTAATTGATAAAATCATAAAGTTATCGTGTATTTGTTTAGTATGGTAGGCCAATCTTTTTATTATATAACCTATATAAATAAGAATATAAATTTCAATTTATTAATACTATTTATGGCGAATGATAGGAGAGTGGAAAAGTCTGAAAACCCCCCAAGTATCCTCCATCCTATGAAGCTATGATTTCAAGTTACAAAAGCCTAGTGAGGATAAATCTGACATTTTACTAAATAAAATAATACATACAAATGAGACACCACACAATGAAGGAGGAAAAGTGCAAAGGCAGTCATGCACAATTATTCCCCCAAACACTTTCATTACAATTTATTGATTTTTATTTATTTTTTTATAGTTTTTTACAATTATTAATCCAATTCCCCTTTTTGTTCTTAATCTCTGAGCCATTTGGATCGATCTGTTTCTAATTTTTAAATCCCATTTCGCACAATACTATATAGTCTGAGTAGCAAAAGGGAATGAATTAACCGCTGTCACTCACCTTTCTTGTTGTCAATGGCGAATTAGAGCTGTTGCTGTTGCTGTTGTCCAGCTTTCGTATGAGTTGAATCTACGCTTGCACTGCATTCTTCGCTTAACGAACTGGTAATTTGCCCCAAACCCTAGTAAATATGGTGGTTATTTTCAGTTTGTGTTCAACTGTTTTATGATTGATGTGCAAGTTCTTTGCTACATTCCGTGAGTTCTAGTGATTGGTACGCATCAGATCTGTCTCGATTTTGTGACGAATGTGATACCAATTACATAATCCTCTGTCCTATTTTGTCTGTTGATGTGGATTTTAAGTTGTAATTTACATTTTGGATGACAATTTCAGGTTGATCTGAAGTTATTTCTGCTGGCAGTTACTTGAATTGGAAAGAGTTTGTATCTGGATTTAGGAAATCTGAGGCTGATTGTTTACTTGATCTACTGCATTTAAATCGATTGCGTACCTTTTTATGGCAATTTCACCGGTTCTGTGACACGATGTCATGATCACGTGATTCCAAAGAGATTGATTTCAAATAGACAAATAAATTCGGAATACAATAGGCATATTACACTGTTTTCTTCATGATAGTGGTATTTAAACCATAAGTGGAAGCAGGCTACACCAATTCAACATGAGACGACCTATATTCCATAAACTTTCTTTAATTTTTGGCCCTAGACCACCATGGACTTGGCTACTTCTATGTCTTTTTAGTGTTCTTGCACTTATTGTTTTGCTACGTTCATCTACTTCCACCTCCTTTGACTCTGTCACCTTCAGCATAAAATCAGACATTTATATAAACTACAGAAGACTAAAGGAACAAGCAGCAAGTGATTATTTGGAGCTAAAAAGTTTATCTTCAGGGAATAATATTCTGAAGGAGATTAGCCTTTGTGGCAGGGAAAGAGAACATTATGTTCCTTGTTATAATGTTTCTGCAAATCTTCAACTAGGGTTTACAGATGGTGAAGAATTTGATCGACATTGTGAACTATCACAACACCAAGATTACTGTTTGGTTCGCCCTCCAAGAGACTATAAAACTCCTCTGAGTTGGCCAGTTGGCAGAGATGTAATATGGAATGCAAATGTCAAGATTACAAAAGACCAATTTCTTTCTTCAGGGAGTATGACTAAAAGGTAATTAATTTCATATATATTTGTTCATTTAGTTTTGTATTATAATATTATTCACTCCCCATTGATCTTTTTCCCTTTTTCTTAGGTTAATGTTACTTGAAGAAAACCAAATTTCTTTCCACTCAGATGATGGTTTGATCTTTGATGGAGTCAAAGAATACTCTCACCAAGTTGCAGAAATGATAGGATTAACTAGTGATGTTGAATTTCTTCAAGCTGGTGTAAGTACCAAAATAAAGTAATTGTTCTTATTATCATTTATCATCATTCATTATCATTTCACTTTGTGTCTAATAAATAATCTTTTTATATTAATAGGTACGTAATGTACTAGATATTGGATGTGGGTTTGGTAGCTTTGGGGCTCATTTGTTATCATTAAAGCTCATGGCTGTTTGTATGGCTGCATATGAGTTGACTGGTAGTCAAGTTCAGTTATCTCTTGAAAGAGGCCTTCCAGCAATTATTGGCAACTTCATTTCAAGAAAACTCCCATTTCCTTCATTGTCATATGACATGGTTCATTGTGCACAATGTGGTATCCTATGGGACAAAAAAGGCAAGTTCTTTTTTAAATTATCTAGTGTAAAGAGTGTTTTTTCTTGGTATCTAATTCTAATGATATATGTATATATTTATGTTTCAGATGGAATGTTTCTTATTGAAGTTGATCGGATTCTTAAGCCTGGAGGCTACTTTGTTTTACATGGAAGTTCATTAAGTACAAAAAAGGGAAGCATGGATAGCCCTATTGAAGAATTTACTCAAAAGATTTGCTGGACATTTACAGCTCAACAAGAGGAAACTTTTATATGGCAGAAAACTAATGATGCCCAATGCTACTCATCCGGGTGAGAGGCTAGTTTTGGTATTTCATGCAAAGATGAAGGAAAATTTAAAGTAATATTTATTTGGTTTTATATTGCAGCAAGCAGGGTGTGATTCCACCATGTAAAGAAGAACATGACATACAGTCATATTATCAGCCACTTTCATCTTGTATAGGAGGGACTGAAAGCAAAAGATGGATTCCTATTCAAAATAGGTCTTCAAGTTTTCAAATAACCCCAGCTGAACTTCAAATTCATGGAAAGTATTGTTTATTTTTCTTTATTTGTGTTAAAGTTGGGGGTATATTTGGTATTTGACTAACAGTGAAACTGTTTATTTTGACAGAAGTTGAGCAGTATGAATTTTATGAGGACTTTGAGTCATCAAGGTTAGCTTTGAGAAATTATTGGTCTTTACTCACGCCTTTAATCTTTTCTGATCATCCAAAAAGACCTGGTGATGAAGATCCATTACCTCCATACAATATGATACGAAATGTTATGGACATGAATGCCCTTTATGGGGGTCTAAATGCTGCATTTTTAGAAGCAGGGAAATCAGTTTGGGTGATGAATGTGGTCCCCACTAGGACTCGTAACACCCTCCCACTCATACTTCATCAGGGATTCGCAGGCATTTTGCATGACTGGTAAATATTTAATATCATTAACTAATTTGCCAAAATAAGAATTGGAGCCAATCACATTTTTGGGATCAAAATTGCAAAACTCATCTAAACTTAGGGACCAAAAATGTAATTCCACTTTTTTGGAAATATATAGGTGTGAACCTTTCCCAACATACCCACGGACATATGACATGGTTCATGCAAATGGGCTCCTTTCAAATCTAATTTTAGAAGGGTGTAGCTTAAAAACTCTACTTTTGGAGATTGATCGTATTTTACGCCCTGAGGTACTTTTAACAATACTGTTTGATTATTAGTCAAATATCTGATGAAATACTTAATGTAAGAAGGCTCAAATGATTTTGATGTTTTTTTTTAAATTATATAGGGTTGGGTTGTACTTTCGGATAAGGTGGGGCCTATAGAGGATGCACGAATGATTGCTACACAAATACGATGGGAAGCAAGGGTGATTGATCTTGAAAATGGTAGTGAACAAAGGCTACTTGTTTGTCAAAAGCCATTTGTAAGAAAATGAGTTGAGAGTCTTTTTTTTTTTTTTTTTTCACAAGTGAAGGTTTTATAAATCTCTATATACGACGCAAACATGCATGCATAGATGATGCAAGAAATTTGTCAATTGTAATTGGGTTGTATTAGTCGATGAAAAAGGAAAGGAAGAGGAAACACGAATTGTAAGATGTAGATTAGAGAAAGTTTTGTTACCATGTTTTTTTCTTTTGCATTTCTGTAATCTTTTTTTTTTGTTCGTTCCACTTTGTAATTGAAACTACATTACCATATCCAACATTTTATCTTGAGAAAATAGGTGTCCCCAGTCACCTAATGTGTGAAATAGATTACAACTTTACAATGTTGCATTTTTATTTCTTTATATATATGGCTACTGCTTATACTGCTAGATCCAAAAATCAAATTTTATTGACATGTAAATCGACTATATATTAGGCTTTTGACTCAATTTTATTCCTACTGAGAAACATCTTAACTACTTGATAAATAAAAAGCTTTTTTTTTTTGAAAGAGTTGATAAATAATAAGTTATTAAATAAATGGAAAATTGGTTTTTGTATGGAAAGAATAATTAGAAAGAGAAATCTTACTTGCGTCCTTTGAATGATCATATGCTAAAAGCTATCCCTAATTGGCAGTTTCATGTCCTATCTATAAAATTAAATGTACTAATTTTGTACCATTTATAAATAAAAGGGTTGGTTTTGGTTATATATTATCTATAAAAATCATTAGATTAAAATTAATTTTTTTAATAAAAAGTGGGTTCTCAAAAGATTGAGAATCATCATTCAAAATATATTTAAAATTATCAAACATACACAATCTTGTAGATTGTATTATATAAAGTATAGACATAGAAGATACGGGTCTCGGGCGGATCCAATAGAATCCAAAACCCAAAAATAAATACGAAGTGCGCGCGATTGTATCCCATTTTTCAAACTCAATCCAACGGTTGAGATTCAGTCTTACGTCCTCCCTAACTTGCCCGATTTTTAATCACCCCTTTATAAACCCGCCCCCTTCCATTTCTCTCCCCTTTCTGGACTTCCCGGTGATTGCAAAGGAATTTTTCTCGTCATTCAAACTCAATCGATCGGTTCTATTTGGTGAATCAATCAATCAGGACGATGTCGAACGAAAAGGAGAGAGAAAATCATGTTTATTTGGCTAAGCTCGCTGAACAAGCCGAACGTTACGATGGTATCCCCTTCATCTCATGATTTTCTATCTGTTTTTGCGTTTTAACATTGTACATTTGCGTGATATTCATCTGTTGTTAGATCGGTTCTAAATTTCGTTTTGATGCGTGTCTCTGTTCTCATTGGAGTGTATAATTGAATTTAATCGTGAATCTGGCGTAAAATAAATGGATGCATGTTTGATCTATTTGTTTTGATTATTTACATGATTTTTTTGTCACAAATTGGAAGAATCTTATAACTTACAATGTAATTTTCGCTCACGTTAGTACGTGCCTTGTTCATCGCTAAAATTGTGGTTTTCTGTGTGTTTATTCCACGTCACGACGATGGATTTAATGTTCATCTGATTTTTCGAATTTAGATAGTGGCAAAATAACAAAACAATGCTATAGCTCACAGTTGAGAGGAAATTTTAGATTTCTGTTATATTAAATTTATTGGTTGTTGTCAAATAAAACTCGTAAGTAGGGGTGGCTAATGTATATTTGGTCTCAATTATACGTGGATCATGCCTGATCTCACAATTGCTTAAATGCTAAAGTTATCCTTGTCATAATTCTCACATGAAATTGCAGAAATGGTTGAAAGTATGAAGAATGTAGCCAAACTTGATGTTGAACTTACTGTGGAAGAGCGCAACCTTCTTTCAGTAGGATACAAGAATGTGATTGGAGCAAGGAGAGCCTCATGGCGTATCATGTCATCAATTGAACAGAAAGAGGAATCAAAAGGAAACGAGAGCTATGTCAATCTGATCAAGGGTTATCGCAAAAAGGTTGAAGATGAACTTGCCAAGATTTGCAGTGACATTCTTGCTATCATTGACAAACATCTTGTACCATCTTCAGGCTCAGGAGAAGCTACTGTTTTTTACTACAAAATGTGAGTCATGTTTATTGCTATTCTTTCTTTATTGAAAAAAAATCTCATTTTTATTGTGTTTTGATTGGTACCAAATACAGGAAAGGTGACTACTTCCGTTACCTTGCTGAGTTTAAGACAGATGAAGAAAGAAAGGAAGCTGCAGACCAATCATTGAAGGGCTATGAGGCATGTCTTTTTGTATTTATTATCGCAATAAATTTCGCTTTTTCTTTATGCAAACATTTTTGGTTATTAATTTTCCATTTTAGGCTGCTTCCGAGTCTGCAAATAAAGAGCTCCCTTCAACCCACCCAATTCGTCTTGGCTTGGCTCTCAATTTCTCAGTGTTCTACTATGAAATTATGAATTCTCCTGAAAAGTAAAATCAGATATTCTTTACTTTATTTGAAATTTGCATATGGTGTATGAAATTAAAGTGTTTTTTATATGATGAAATTACAGGGCATGCCAATTGGCTAAACAAGCTTTTGATGAGGCGATTTCTGAGTTGGACACTTTGAGTGAGGAATCATACAAAGACAGCACCTTGATCATGCAGCTTTTGAGAGATAATCTCACTCTCTGGACTTCTGATTTGCCTGAGGATGGAGGTATTCCATACCCTTCTAATATGCTTTATACCCTAAAAGGCAATCAAGTATCTAATACTTAGTTCAATGGAAATGTTTTAATATTTGTGAGATATCCAAATTACCCTTCTACAATGTGTAACCTCATGGGTCTAAGGGGATAAGACACTATATTTTTCCCTTTCCAAACTCCTGTTAAAATTGTATTTGGAATGTAAGGGTAAAATGGTCTTTTAGACAGACATCATTACCCATTCAGCCACTTTGCATATACATGACTTAATGGAAAAGAAAAAGATGTAATCTTGGATTGAAGTTATGTCAAAAAGGAAATGATGTGTTTTATTTTATTAGTGTTTTATAAATAAATATTATGGATAAAAGAGTTGACATATTTTCTTTTTACAGGAGAGGAGAATCCGAAAGGTGAAGAGGCAAAATCAGCTGAACCAGAGGTTAGTTAGCAGTAGCATTAATAATTATTTTTTATTAAAGTTTGTGTATAACTAAAAATTATTAAAAATTAAACTGTTTTTGTAGCAGAAGAAGTGACCATGAAAACCAGGCTGGTAAGGCTTTGAAGTATTAACAAGTTTTGCTTCTTGCAAAGTCTCTTGCTCTTTTTTAGAACGGGAATCAGATGCTTTTTGGTTAACTTCTTTTAAGTTTAGTTTCGTTGAACTATGCTCATTGATGTTCTTTATGCCGTATTTTTCCAATTTTATTTCTTTCTTGTTAATTTCTTTTGTTTTTGCGCATCATTATTTATTTATGTGCATGCATACAAATTGAAATCAGAATATAAATGTGAAATGATAAAACTGAATGAAATCTAGTTAGGAGAAGCAAACTGAAACCCACATACGTGGCAATATGTTGAACGAATAAGCCTCACCCAAAGCGCATTCCTTTCCTCCACAAAATAGCATCGCCACTTCTGTAACAAAGCCAAATTAAAACCATGAAGACTAGAAGATTCCAACAACATATTAACTTGTTTTGGCATATTAAAAATTTAAAAGCATTTGACGACCACCAATAAAGTTTATTTTTCCAAGCTGAAAAACATGTTTCACATCGATCCAAGATTGGCTTCCAATCCGTGTCGAACCCACAGGAAAACCTAAAAAACGTTCTTTGATATAAATTTGATCTTTTCAAATTTATCAACAAGTCAGAAGCCAGAAGCTAAATAAATACTTAACATGTACATAACGTTCTTTGATATACTGTTTTTAGAGGTAGTTGTATGTTAGTTATTAAATTCGTATATCAAAATATATCATTTTATTCTAATATTGCCTGCCAAATGTTGCACATCACATACCAAAATCTAAAAATTAAGATGTTAGGATGGTGAAAGTTCATCCATCCAAAATCTCCTAACCTTTGATGCCACATAGGTTATTTCAGTTTTTTATTTCGGTTTCATCGCTCTCGAAAC